GGGCTTAAAATTCGTGCGCGCGCTTAATAATTATTCAAAATGGCGCAGATTTTGAACATCGCCCGTCCAAGTAACCAAAAATCTCGAATCTTGACGCCTGGCATGCACAGGTATCCCATCGACCACAGGATCCCCAAAGATTACGAAGCGTTCTCCTAACGTCGAACGCAAAAATATCGATAAGCACATCCATGTTGTACATCATATTTGCTCGACTTGCTTGCTGCTGCTGCTTATCTCATAAATTTTGAATGGGATTCGACAACAAAACACTACTCTGGTTGATTGCTTGTTTTCACGTGACCATTTTGATTGTTCTGTCATTTACACATGGGGCACCGATAAAAGCGAAGCTGTAATTGGAGGAGTCATCGTACCGCAAACGTAGCGCGAACACCTTCGAGAAAATGGGAGCTGAATTCTAATTGGCTTACCGCTGGAAAGGAATGTGGTTCGATTTTCAGCAGCCGTTTGTGGGAAGGAGCGTTGCGTGACGACACTAAAAACGGCTGTGTAGCAGACTACTTTTACCAGTGCTGAAACGCTGAATTAAGAAAGTTTAAAAATGTTCTCTTGTTGGTCTGTTTGTTTGGTAGCTCGACAATGCATTATTACGTAACGGATGAACATTTCTAGGAAATTCAGAGGGTCTATGTGCTTGCTTTTAAGGTTTTTCTTATGATATTTCCATGTTCAGTTTGTATACTGCTTCGGTGTTCAAAAACAATTTCAGAGATTTGTGGTTGGGGATATTAGACAACTTTCCAGAAATAGAAAAATTAGATCTATGATTGTAAGCATGAACGTTCCTGCTTGCGACATAGCTGTCACTACATGGCAAGTTCATAACGCGGAGTTGGCTCCCTACGACAACTGCACTTGAAATATGTGATGAAATAAATATTGGCTGACTTAAGCGTCTCAATAGATGGACATGCTGTCGCTACTTGTCCCTCTTTTGGCTCGAATTTTGCGCTTTTAAAACTTCTTCTTTGTACGACGGCCCTGAAATTGACGGCAGAAATTTATTTGATAGATAACAATTATTCACCGAAGTGGAGGTGGCCAGTAGTGTAAATCTACCGAGGCCGCGAAGCGGCGAGGTAAATATGCACTACTAGCCACCGACACTGAGGTGAATAATTGTTTTAGTATATACTAAAACAGTGAGATAATTGAGCCCAAAAATGATGATTTTTATCTCATTTACTGTTACCAACGACTACAATTTTGGCGCGCAATGACCGAACGGCCGCGGTCGTCGCTTTTTCTTGGGGACAAATAAAACTTTTGAAGGCGTTTGTTTAGCTCTTGCGGGGAAGTTTCTTCAAAAGGAGTTATGAATTCTTTTTGCATTTAAAATCCTTCTGTAAAAAAGATTATTAAATTTAGTTTTAAGCTTATTTATGAACAAGCTAAGTCTGAACTAAATAAAGTAACGCAAGACCTAGGCTTAATTTGCATTTGCAAACAAAAAACTTTTTCACCGGTTTTATCGATAAATTCGAGTCAAAAAGAGAAAGCTTTACCTGTTAAAACTTCCAAACCGAACTTCGTCACCTTCTTCATTTTATATGTATTTTGGGAATAGCTTGCTTGATTAGTTGTGAAATTTCTTAGTTTGTTACGGCAGCAAACCGGGGAGGCATTTTGCTCGCTGACTCAGGCTTACCATTCGAGATGCACTGAAAACTATCAAGTAAGCCCAGAATCGCTTCAGACTTTTCAACCCTCTTACGCATCCAGCAAGGTGAAAAACGAAAACGATGCCATCCGAAATCGGATTTCCGACTTTGACAAGCGACGTATTTCCCATCCAAAAACCCGATAAACAAACTAGCCATGAATAACAGAAGACTCTTGATAGCAGCTGAATTTCATTTTGTACAATGTTCAGTGGAAAAAGAAGGTTAAAAACATCAAAAGTTGACACAAAACTCTGTCAGCTTCAGCTGTCAAAGTAAACAAGTTTCAAGATGCTGCATAAATTTTCCGCATGAACTCACCTGTCAAATTTTGACCAATCAGAGCATAAAAATTGGACGTAGAGCGTGACCAACGCGTGACCTTGGTGAGAAAAGTCAAAAGCAACTGGCATGTCTTCCCCGCCTGTAAAAACTGGCTGAATCTTAGCTTCCGAGGTCAGTTTGAAATCAAAAATTTTAATTGTGCGGCACATATAAAACACAACATATTTCATATGAATTAAAGAAAATTAAACTTGAGCCTGCAATCATTTGAAAACTAGTAACTTGTCAGCGGATAACTTCAAAAATACTCGACCTCGATGGGTCGACACCGGAGCCCGCGATACGGTCAGGTGATACTGGTCAGCGGATACCCTGTTTTGACAGCTGTCAATTGATCACAACATTGATGTGCAATATGTGTGCAATATCAGTCTTCCTGTGCTCCCAAACCAGCTAGAAAGTGTGGGTTGAACATTGGTTGGCCTGTGGTGCGGACGGACGGGCAGCGGGCGGGCGGTGTACGGTCACGTGATTACCAAATGTTTCTGGGATGGGTAGATTTCCTTACCCATGGTGCTCCGCAGGCGCGCTTCGCGCGCCAGAGCTCCGCTATCACTTATAAAATTCGCTTATTTGGATTCTGTCTTGTTTTCCTTTACTTTGATATTTTGTCTTTGATTAAAAAGAAAAACATTTTTACTGGGCTGTCTGTGCGCCCAGTCATAAAATGGGCTTTCGGTCGTCTGCGGCGAAAAACGGCCTCCCGGGGGAGGGAAGACACGACGGTCTGGTACCGAGAAACGATGTTCTCACAAATGGTTTCATATGAGTTTCTCTTGCACGGAGCCTTGCACGGATACTTTTTGTACCTCGTCTGCGCTCCCCCTGAAAAACCCACAAAGCGTTGCGAACCTGAAGAAGGTTATTTGCGTTGTTCGAAGCGATCCGATCATGGGAGTCACTCTATAATTTTTTTATTGTTCGAGTTTAAGTCAGTTAGATGATGTTGGCGCTGGGAAACTCAGAGAAATGCTCGCGTTGCATTCAAACCGACACGCTGTTCACGGTAGGTTCACACTAAAAGATGACTGTGAGCGTCAGGTTTGGAACGCCGTGGCCGCTTCGTGAACTCCAAGAGAGAATTATCGATCGATGTAGTACATGGGCAATTAAGAAGCAAAATTTATGAGCAAGGTATTTCACCAGTTGACGACACTATGGCTGAAGACTTGATTGTAAGCCTTCGTAGTCAGTGAAGCGAACAACTTAGTTGCCGATGAATGGCACTACGCACGTCCACGAGTGAGGGACGTGACAACTTTGCCATGTTATAAGACTGGCTTTTCCTTTAAATACTTCCTTCTATTTAATGCAACACACGCCACTTTGGAGGTCTAAATTTCGGATACTGAGGATAAAGAAGACACGGACAAAAAAGGGACTCTGAGAATTTCGCACACAAGTTTAAAGCTTCACCGGGACATCCCATCCGAGAGCTTCACAGAGAGCGACTTGAGGAAAATAGGAGCTATTACTGACAAGGTTTGATGACTGAGTAGAGCAGACAAGTGTAGCCCACGTCGAGGTTTCAGGGCGTTTGCTTTTGTTTGTATTTGTATCTTGCTAAGCTTTTATCATTAAATTTGTACATGATCTTGTGATCACAATTCTGTGTTTTCGCCCATTCAGCAAGCACGCTATATTGATGTCAGCATCGAGTTTAAGAAACATGCCTTTGAAAGTTTTCAGCTCTCGTGATGTTTCTTGATATTTCTTTTACCATTTTATGAAGATGTTAACTGAAGTCACCGCAAAATGGAAACTTAAAAAAGCGTATAATCCATTTATCTCGAAACATAACACACATGACTTATACGACCTTTATTTTCGTAAAGGTGTTTTGAATACGAACGAACACAGTCAATGTGAGGGGCAAAAACAGCATTAACATAAATGAACCATAGGGTTTTAACTAATATAAGGGTCAATTATTGTGCATTGAGATGAATCGCTTGAAAAGAGAGACTTCACTTGAAGATGTGATCAGAAGTAAACAAAGGCATAATAGTGCGTCACGTTCAGTCTTTTTAACTGATCCAAGGAGTCACTGTGAATAGTGTTTCCATGTTGTTTTGCTGGCACAAAAACTTCGGACGAGTTATAAAGCGGCATAGTTATCTTCCATGAAGAAAAGTTCCTCTTGGGTGAGACAAACAGAACTGGAGCGAATTTTTAACTCGCATCGGTATCAGGTAAAAAATATGTTGTCGATCGTTTCATCTATTTACATTGTTTGAAGTGCGTGCTGTGAGGCATACTGTAGTTGGAGGACTGGACTGGACTGGACTGGACTGGACTGGACTGGTAAAACGCGGACTAGTAAAAGGCGGACTGGTAAAACGCGGACTGGTAAAACGCGGACTAGTAAAACGCGGACTAGTAAAACGCGGACTGGTAAAACGCGGACTCAGGATAGGTTCCTGCGGACGTCTTTTTTTTTTAGATTTTCTCCGCGTTTGTAAATCGGAGAAAACTGAACGGTGAACAGACTTTTACAAAAACTAATTTACGTTTAGAAATTCTGTTCATTTATTTTTAGGCTGTTTTATTCCGACGGTTTAGCGATCGTAATGACCCCTGTTTGACCTTTTAGCTACAAAAGGGGTTTATATGCGCCAGTTACAGACAATTTAAAAAGTTTTGGCGGCGAAGAAATTATTTGTCACCAGTTCATAATCGTAATTGTGTTTTATCGAATCTTTAAGCGGCCAGTTGACTAATAATAATAATAATAATAATAATAATAATAATAATATTTATAGTTTTATTTTCGGATCGCTTGCTTTCTGCCACGCAACATGTCCAATGAGTACCTTGTTCCCTTCAATACGTTTATAAACATTCTGATAAAGGAACAATTCGCAGCAAAAAGTACAAAACCTTAATTTTTCTAGGTTCAAAACTAGATGCCCCGGAGTAAAATTGTATTAAGCTAAACGTACGTGACGGTCACTTATTTTGCCTAGTCATGGTTTCAACGTCCCAGAATCATCGCATCTCATCTATAATTATCCTTGTCAACAACATGAACGCCAGCACGTCAAAGAAAACACACCGCCCACGTACCCTCAGCGTCAAAAGCCTACACCAGGAATCTTAGTTTTCGCCAAACTTGCGTTTCTGGACTGCAAGGTTACACGATGTTATGGCTGTGGCTACTCCTTGAAGCCAGACGGAACCATACCCGATCTGCCTGATGACCTTGTGCTAACTACAAGACTTCACCGACAATATTACAAGGCAGGTCAGCAACAAACGTTACCAGATATTTCAAATGTGTACTACCATGTCAAACCATTCTGCATCAGGGTGACCTTTCCTTCCTTCGAGCCAAATTTATGCCGAATACCAGCCGATCTCCAACCGTTTCTTCTCCAAGAACACAAACAGATGATCGTACAAAGGCTTGCTGTAAGGTTCTAGTTGGACTGTGGTCTGTTACGATCATGTTACCTTATCATGTCCCGACTATTTGAAAGCATCAGACTTTGAAAACTAAGACTTTTTTATTGTTATTGACGACGTCGAACTGTAGAATCTGGGATTGTTACTTTACAATAATATATGATACAGATTACAATGACGCTAAATTCGATTATGAATCTTATTTGTAGATTTATTTGTATTGCATACGTTACTGTTAGGAGTTATGATACCTCTTTTTTCAAGATAACCTTTTTTTATTGTTATTGACGTCGTTGAACAGTTCAGAGATGTATGTAGCATCTGGGATTGTTAGTTCAGTGAAAAAGTCTTAACTCAGTTTCGTTACAAAACGAAAATTGTCGTCTCGAGTCTCCAAAGTTATGCAGTTTTTATTGCTATTAAGGACGGTGCCCACTAATGGGAAGTATTTTTTCCCAGATAATGACTGTGACACAGGTAGATCATATCAGGGGCTATTGAAATCCAAAAAGAAAACTGGGGGTAACCACGCATTTTTCAGAGATAACTGCGCCTCAATATGGAGAAAAACGCTGAATAGGCGTTTTAAAGAAAAATGATAAAAAGTTACTTTTTCCCCAAAATTCAGCGTGTACACGTGAACTGGCACAAATGCAATGATAATTGTAACAAGGTTTCAAAATAAGCAACAAATGATAACATAACAATCGCTCTTTATACGTCATAAATAACAATGATAATAGTAAAAATTAAAGCATAACAATTCTTTTATCACTTTTTCCACGATGAAAGCGTTTCCTTTGCGGTCCGCAACTAATTGTGAAGCTGCGATCTCAGCAATCCAAACAATCTTGTGATAGTTTTTTTTCTTGTTTGTTCAACAAAGAAAAGCCTCGGACTCTCAATAAAAGGGGCATCTGTATGTACTCGAACTCTTTAAATCTATCTTCTGGTGAATAATTACATAAAATCTTACAAAATTAAAGAAATATTCGGGAAACTGTTTATAGCCGATTAGCCGATAAAACGCGAAGGACGCGAGTGAAAGGTAAGCTTGCAGTTTCTCGATTAAGCGGAGGACTTAGAGCTATTTTCCTTCTGATTTACTGATCCTTGCCTATTAAGGGATTTTTTAATACCCAAGCTCTAAGCGTAACATGTTGAAGCTATAACTTTTGATGTTTTAGAACTGACTTTTGTTTGACTATAAAATGTTCGGTCAGATCGATCATACGTAGAAATAGCAACATGCGCATACTTCTTCGGTTTTCAAAGAACTGACAAGGTAAATAGAAATTATTTTTCGTCTGTTGAAAAACGACGCATCTTTTCTTCAAGAAATAACTCGAACCTCCCAGACTTACAGGAGACAAAACCAGTCCGCGTGTCCTGCGTGTTGCGCATTTCTTTCGCGTCGCGCACGACTACCTTGGCATGCGCAGAAAATGTGCGCAGTAACAATAGTGGGCACCGTCCTTAAACACCTACAATACAATCACGTTCATTTCTAGATACAACTATTACTCAACAATGTTATATGATACATATAACAATGACGCTAAATTAGATTATGAATCTTATTTGTAGATTTATATGTATTTTATACATTAATGTTAAGAGTTATGATACCTCTTATTTTCACTTGAGAAGTTTTTTGAATAGTAGATGATCGTGTTAATAACGCCAACATTTTTTTTGCGTTTTACCAGTCCGCGTTTTACCAGTCCGCGTTTTACTAGTCCGCGTTTTACCAGTCCGCGTTTTACTAGTCCAGTCCAGTCCAGTCCAGTCCTCGAAATACAGTATGCCTGCTGGTGAACGCAACATGCGAGCGAGAAATCTTTAAACTTTTTTAGGTCTCAAAATGCAAAGGATTTTATTCCTTTAAGTTAGAGAAAAATACCATGAGGAAAATCTTAAAACTGAATATTTTTCTTCTTGTGGAAAAAATAGTGCTTTTTCTTATAGACTGTGGACCGCAAATTAGGATCGCACTTTTCACAAACATGCGAATTCTGAAGTTCAGAAGCCAACCGACGATTGCGTTTTTCGCTGCTGTCAATCATCTTAACGGACCTCTTAGGAAACAAAACTTTACTTCACGGGTTCAAAAGGTCATGGTTTGTGATTTGTGGATTTCGATCCGTTTTGTGTGTTTCTCTGTTTCAAGGTTCGTTGCTTGTGATCGTAATTATGATTGACGGCAGCGATAAACACAATTGTGAAGGTGGCTTTTGAACTTTAGAGTTCGCATGTTTGTGAAAAGCGCAGTAAAGTCTCCGTGCAGTCAGTGAGGCCCCTGGATCAGGCGGGATCAATGGGCAGTTAACTGTCTGTTTTAGTATACTTCTGGTTTTCATACAATACAATATTTCTGTCTAGTGTAAATCAGCTCATTATACTCGTAGAACGACAACAATTTTTGGAATTTCCAGTTACGTCAAATTAGTTCACGTTATACTGTCACGCTATATTTTGGGGCACAGAGGGATTAGGGGAGGGGTACGTGGAAATAATGCAAATTGTTTCCTGCTTAGAATTAATGGCTAACTTGTCTATTTTTATTCATAATGGCGTAATTTAAAAGTTATTATACAGCCCCCACTTAAAAATGGTACTCTTTTTTTTTGGTTACGAAAGTCTTTCAAAAGGGTACAATGTTCTGAATGAGTTTATGTTTCGGTCTCACATGAGGTTCTGTCGCATGCAATGGTTGCCGACAAGGTTTTATGTTAGCCTGAGTGTGTATAGCCGCCCCCTCCCCTCAGAAAAAATAGCCCCTTGGCAGCCCAGTTAAAAATCGCCTTTCGGCGATTCTTGTTTGTTTTAGTGTTTCATTTTGATTCTTTAGTTTATCTTTGATTTCCAAAATGAAACTTTTGTTCTTTAATCAAAAATAAAACACAAACAGCGGTGACAGATAGTTGAAGAACCGTCCCGAATATTTCGGACCAATCTAATCTGATTTCCTTATGAAGTTCCAAAACGCCGCAGCATTCCTCTGTATTTCCGTAGTTTTCTGACGGCTGAGATGCCCAAAGAAATGTTTGCTAAAATCATGTGCAGTGCCTCGGCATACCTCATTGTGCTGCTTAAGTCATGGGCAATTTTGTCGAGCAGCGTTTACATTTCGCCTTATGTAAAACTAACGGCGAATTAATATGGCAATTTATTCGAAATTTGATAAACCAGCCTTTTAGGCCCTGTTAGAAAAGAAGTTCATTAAAAATGCAAGTTTTGGTGGACAGAGTTTCAGTATGCAAAGATCTTACCGAGTAAGAAATGATCTTGCTAATGCGACATTGACAAAATTTCTACTGGAGACGAATTATCCGTCTCTAAGAGGGATAAATCGTCTAGATATAAAATAATATACTGTATATAAATTTGGTGTTTAGTAGAATTTTGGCCCCAAATTCGCCCCGCCCGTTCATCAGCACCTCTGATCAAGTGCTGAATTGGGCGTCTGAACAACAGATTTATCTCTAGACTATTTATCCGTCTCCGATCAGTTGGCATTATTCCTCTCTCGTAGTAGAAATTCGATCATTATTAAATGAACCTTCAGTGCTTAAAACAATCTTCTAGAAGACTCAATTATGTGACTTTATCAGTCTAGACGCTTGTACTCGAGTATCTCTATAACACTTCACAGTTAAATTTTTGGCACTTTATCACTTATTTTCATGATACCTTCAATTTTTTTAATAAAACGAAAATAAGTATTATTTCTATATTCGGTGGCTAGAATCTTTTGCAACATTTTTTAAATTATATTTTTATTTTGTAGATGTTTCATTTTTGAACACAAAAAAATATGCAAATAACCCGCACTGAATCCTCATTTGGGCCGTGTTTCCAACATGTTTCATTATTTGCTGTTTTTTTTTTTTTAATTAAAACATAGACCTTATTAATGAGACGAGCAAACGTCAATTTTACAGTGCAAAGGGAAAGTGTGAATCAGTCTAAACTAGAACAGAAAAAGTTCGCGTTTCTAAACAGTAAATTGCGGTGGTCAAAATAAATAACTCAAGGCGATAAAAAGGTTAACTCAGCCAAGAAAATCATTCTCTTGGCAAGTGTGCCTCGAGTGAGGGATAACGCATGCCAAGAAACACTGCTGATAGCTGACTCTGAAAGGGAAGAAAAGCTTTGGAAGAAATTGGTATTAAGTCTTCCGGTTCACATTGGCCTTTGAAACCAATTATTTTTCCTTTGTAGCAGAAATGTAATTTTTTCACACTTATTTGCTTCCTCTAATCATTCAATTTTTTAATAAAACGAAAATAAGAATTATTTCTATATTCGGTGGCTAGAATCTTTTGCAACATTTATTAAATTATATTTGTAGCTGTTTCAGTTTTGAACACAAAAAAAAATATGCAAATAACCGCTGAATCCTCATTTGGAATGTATTTCCAACAAATTTCATTTGCTGTTTTTTTTAATGAGTAAAACATTGACCTTATTAATGAGACGAGCAAACGTTGAATTTTACAAGTACAAAGGGAAAGTGTGAATCAGTCTAAATTAGAACAAGAAAAAGTTCGCATTTCTTAACAATAAATTGCGGTGGGCAAAAGAAACAACTCAAGGCGATAAAAAGGTTAACTCAGCCAAGAAAATCATTCACTTGGCAAGTGTGCCTCAAGTGAGGGATAACGCATGCCAAGAAACACTGCTGATAGACTCTGAAAGGGAAGAGAAACTTTCAGTATTAATTCTTCAGGTCCGGTTCACACTGTCCTTTGAAACCAATTATTTTTCCTTTGCAGCAGGTTCGGAGATTTATTTTCTCCGACGATGTTTCGATTGTGCTCACTGTTTTTTTTTTTTATTGTTGCTTGGCCCTTTACTGGCATATTCATTGGTAAGTTATGTGATGTTACTATCCT